GGAGATACTGATGATAACATTAATAAGCAAACAGACAGAGTCTTAAATATACAGTATATACACAACACATGCACGCACACACACACACACACACACACACACACACACACACACACACACACACACATCACACAACACACACACACACAACACACACACACACACATTCATTTATTCTCTCTCCCTCTCCCTCCCTCTCCTCTCTCTCCCTCTTTCATAAACTGTGAATCAAAAAAGCTCCATACAAAGAAAATGTATCACTCACAGCCACAGGGCAAAGAAGAGGACACTCGTTACCTGCGTCAAGCACATTCCACCCCAAGTGACTGTCAGAATCACTTGAGCCTTTTGGAACTGCACGACTTCTGCTTCAAGACTGGCTTTATGTCCTTATGCCTTAGTGCGCCCGGTTGTCTTGGCACTGTGAATGCCCCGCCAAAACCCGCGTCATTCTTATCTTTCTACCAATTTTTGCATCTTCTGCGTGATTGACGGCACGTACAACAAAAGTATCCTCATGAGAGACTTACTGTTTATTTGTTTGTCTTTTTTTCTCTCTCTCTCTCTTTGCAGAAAATTGGTAAAATGATAAACACTGTTGTGAATTTCCATGATTTGCATAACTGTGATGCAGTGACTTCAACCTCTAATCAAAAAATATAAAATAAAATAAATAAATTACGTTAAAACAACATGAATCTAAACACGAAAAGATAAACAGATATTATGTAGCTCAAATAATATCAAACTAACACAGCATTACTGGATTAGTTTATACACCACACACATTTCTTCCAAAAAAACTAACTTTGTTGATGTGACTGCATCGTCATAACTACCGCCTATGAACTACACATGCACAAAATTCCGAACTGTAATGTTTATCTGAATACCTTTAATATCATGATATATGCCTTGCAAATCTACTAACAAGGAATCATATTAACCCCCCCTTCAAAAAAAAGCTAACCTTTCTACCATAAGTTTGATTATTTCATCCCTGAATTCTTAAAAAAAAGAAGACATATAAATAGATCTATTATATCTAACTCTTACAGCAAACTTGGGAGAGTAACCTAAGGAAAAATAAGAAAAAAAAACAAAACAAATAAATAAAGCATTATATTTATATAAAAACTTCAACCTAAGAAAATTCAAGATATGAAAGCAAAGAAATAAAAAAAAGCATCATTAATAAGTAATACAAGCTCTAAGTAATCCAATTCTCTGGATTAATTTTTCTACTCTAAAGAAAGCAGCCATGAAGCTTTATCCTGAGACTTCAATCTAGGATCTTTTTTTTTAATTTTGAAAATGGGAAAATTGGTTACGAGAAAAAGCAGAAACAGGAAAGCAACGACAATGCAAGTGTAAGTAAAAATTAATAAATAACTAAATACATAGTAAAGCGAATAATACGAAAAGTAGGAATATAATTTTGAAAAAGATATGGAAAAAAAAACTGAGATGAATAAACACTAATCAGTCTAACAATTAGTGTTGTCCTTTCTAAAAACAAAAACAAAACAAAACAAAAAAACAAAAAAATCAAGAAATAAGCAATCAGACTAAAAACTAACATCAGGGATAACTAAAAACTAAACAACAATAAACTACCTAAACTTCCTTCCGTAAAATAGAAAACCTAGCAAAAAAATAAAAATAAATAAAAGAAAGCAATAATTATATATATAAAAAAAAAGAAATAAAGAGATAACAGTAATAACTGTGCATGTCCAACCGAGCTACACAGAAGCCATCACCAAATTTTTATCTTTTTATTTTCCCAACGAACGTACTACGGAACCCCAAGTTTTGTCCCGATGATGCAAACCCAGAGTCATCCACTAGAGAAGAGAACAACAGGTTAGTAAAAACATGTAAAAATTAACCTTGGGAACCACAAGAACATTGAAAAATCAGAAAATATAGTAAGATAGATTTTTTTCACATTCAACAAGCAAGAGAAATATATTCCTCATTTGTGTGACGTTCAAAGATTAGTTGCTAAAAGAAATGATATTCATAAAAATATACTTTACTTTGTATATGAACACAATTTTCTCTTTTTTATCAAACATATATATCTTAAATTCAACTATTCCATCATGAATAAGAATGAAAGAACAGAGAAAACATTAGGCAAAAAAGACTTACACGACCAAAGGCAAAAACATCTTCATCGAGGATATACTTCTCTGGGTAAATGTTTTCGAGGTACCACTTGAAACTCTTGCACTGAAGGCGGTTCCTCAAGTCCTTCCTCTCGCTGATATCACCCCAGTCTGCATTCTGAAATAATACAATGAATAAATAAATGTTCGATATAAATTGATTAGATGTCCTTAAATAGATACATGGTTTGTCATACATCGTCAATGTATAAGACCCTCTATATTATCCAATATGCCTTTATTACCGATTATGTATGCAAAATCAGTATAACAATAATGTCAGTCTATTTTCATAAAGAATTAGCTGTGAAAACTCAATAAAAAGG